ACGTAATTTCCTGTGTATTTATCAGAAAATCATGATCTGAACCTCTCTCATTGTGAGTTCTAAATTTGTTTATGGCACTGAAAATGGGTTAAATACAAAATTAAAATGATCGGGAATTTGGGTTCTTCACTGCAGATCAGGACTTTTAGACTTAAACGTCTTAGTGATATCATATCATAGAGATATCATAGTGATATCATATCATACATTCTAAATTCATTTTTACTATATAAGTCGCTACCCAATATTCGAGTAACTTTATTTTCTCTTGAAGGATTTTCAAGAAATGTGTGTAATTTACGGTGAGACATAGGAGAATCTGCGTAAATTTAACATTAACGGATTTTTTACTAATTTTCAGCTTATAAAAGGCCCAAGAGCCGCTCATTATAGAGGGTTACTGAAGGCGGTTGTTATGTGAGAGGCAAGAGTAAGGGGTTCAGTTTATGTGGATATATGTGAAAGATAAATAACGGTTAACACTGAATTTGAAGAGGCTAACGATTGTATGGGGCCAGGAAATCATCTTCCATAGATTCTGTTCTACAAAACAACGGTTTTTGGGAATAAGCTATCCGAGGTGAATTTCCTTCTTATAGGGATACGTAGGCAATGAGGGTCCGCCCCAATGTATCCAGCATTGAGAGATTTAGCTGGGAACGTAGCGAGACGCCTGCAATATTTCGTCTGTGCGGAAATGGGTTGTAAAGTGGAAAACAATTCATCACCCCAAAACTGCGCAGACAGATGGACTCCAATCTGGAAATTAAAGACTGGGTAGCTCCAACCTAGATATAGCAGCAGTAATCCATTTTCGACTTTATCTGGCTCTAGTAACAGTAGAAGATATCAGGAGGAGTCTGGTACTTTCTGGGGCGGTGCAGAGAACTGACCACTTTTTTCTAACCTCTTTAACGATGGATTGCACATAAGAGTTCAATTTGAGTCCCCTATAGGCGTTCAAGGGAATTACTTTGTGATAGAAGAACATTCAGGTTCTGCTCGATGGAACATTACAAGTATGGTTCTTGAGGTATTGGATGTGACCAGAAAGTTCCCAACACTCCACTGAGTTGTTAAAGCTAGGTCAAAGGAGAGATCAGCTACCAGGCTCTGGTCATGTAGACTTTTAGAGATGGCCTCTTATACCGTTGTATCATCTGTCCTAATTTCTATGCAAGGAATATGTACCAGTTTTCGAAGGAATTGATAAAAATAAATGTTACAATACTTGTATCGGGTTGGGGAATTTATTTTTAAAAAAAAAACTACGACAAATTAATCAATAATATACTCTCCGTTGTGTACGACACCCCCACCTCTCCGTCATCGTTCAATGGGTTTTTCAATGTCTTGGCAATAGAAATCTTGCGGCTTTGACTCAAAGAATTCATCGAACCAAACCCGCAATTCCACGTCATTATCAAATGATAGACCGCTCAAATCGTTTGAAAGTGATCGAAAGAGGTGAAAATCTAACGATGCCAAGTCTGGAGCTTATGGATGATGAGGCAGCATTTCCTATTCGAGTTCTTGAATTGCAGCTTTGTTCATATTTGAGATGTGAGGACGGGCGTTGTAGTCTTAGAAAAGAACGCCATTTCCCCGATTCAATCTCTTTTGCTAAATTGCTTCGTTGAGTCGATGCAATTGTTGAACATAGAGCTCGGAACTGAGTGTCAGTTTGCCCTGAAGCAGTTCAGTGGTGGGACTGGGAAGATATAATTCATTAAATTATAGCTTTCCAGTCTCACCATATACATAACATAGTCTTTCGAGGATGAAGATCTTGTTTTGCTCACGGAGTCGCTTGTTTTGGGGGTTAAGCCATTCTTTTCGCTGCTTCATATTGACGTGACGGCACCATTTTTCATCGCCAGTGACAATGCGCTGTTTGTAACCATGTGTTGAGCGATGTCGAGCGAGCAAACTGGCGGCGATTGTGGAGCAATGATTTTTCTTGTTGTTTTTGATCAAAGTTTGTGACATCCAACAAATGGTGTCGCAAATGTTCAATTTTGTCCACTTGACATTCCATTTTAATGATCTGAAAATACACACAATTCAATAAAATTAATAAATCAAAGCAATATCTTGTAGATCAAAACATTTTCTTTCAAATAACAAAACATTTTGCGTATTATTTCAACGTGCCTTTTTTAAATTTGAAAAAATGAATGCTCATGAATTACTCCTCAACCCAATAAATCAATATTAAAAAATAGGTATTTTCAAGGGACCGTATACCGTGTCATATTATACGAAATCTTTAAAACTGAAAATATAAATTACGTGTGTCATATTCGTAAATGTTTTTTTGATTCTCTTTTATGTTTCCGTGTTCCTACAGGACGTAGGTTATCATGGACCTCCACATCTTCCTGTCCTTTGTAGCTCTTAATAAGTTTTGTCTTTTTGTTATTTCTCCCAAACCCTGTTCCGCTATCCATTTACTCAAGCTCATTAAGTATGTTTCGCGATGCTTTCCTCTGTCCCTCACTCCTGTGAGTGTCAGGTTTTCCAAGACCCACTTCCACATTATATGCCTGAGAAATTTCATCTTCCTAGTGTTAAGTATGTTTCTTTTTTGTTTCCATTTTCTGCAAAACCTCCACATTTCTCACATGTTCGGTCCATGGTATCCTCAGCATCCTTTTGCAGAACCACATTTCTTTTGCTTCAAATCTCTTCATCCTTGAGGAGATTGTCCACCATTTGCTGTCAGATATCGTGTAACAATTCAATACTCGTTTCTTTGTTTCTTGCGAAATTTTACTGTCTCTTAATACTCTATTTAGCTTTCGGAATTTTCGGATCACTGTGTTGCACTTTCCGTTCTCTGTGAGAACAATTCCCAGATATTTAAATTTCTTTTGTTTGACTTTATTATCCCCGAATTGTAATTTGCATTTTGGTTTGGTTTATTTTGTTTTACGGCATATCAACCTCAATGGATTATTTAATGACAACAACATTTTTAGGACAGATTCGTATGAATAGAATATGTATTTTTTAATTTAGATTGATTTGGTTTATTTTGTTTTACGGCATATCAACACCTCAATGGGTTATTTAATACCGACAACATTTTTACGATAGATTCGTATGAATAGAATATGTATTCTTTGGTTTAGATTGGTTTGGTTTATTTTGTTTTACAGCATATCAAACTCAATGGATTATTGAATGCCGACAACATTTTTAGGATAGATTCGTATGAATAGAATATGTATTCTTTGATTTGTTTTTTGGGGTTTTTTTTGTTTTACGGCATATCAACCTCAATGGGTTATTTAATGGCGAAAATTTTTTATTGCTTGTAATATGTTGTTAAATCTATTTCTGGTAATATTTATCCATCAAAAATGTATTGCTGATTTTTTTCCCCAAAAAATGTATAGTTGGTAATATTTTTTCTTCAAAAACATAGTTGGTAATATATTTTTTCCTTCAAAAATTTATTGCTGTTAATAATTTTTTTACAAAGTATTTCTGGTATTAAAACATGTTTTTGCACTTTCATAGTGTTTTTATCCCAGTTTCGGGTTTAATTATTTACCCATAGCTGGGACCCTAACAGGTGCTACCACCCCGGGTCAGAGTGAACCTGGGAACACCAGCAATTAAGAGGTGGTTCCATGATCCTCAAAACCTCCTGATCAGAGGCCTTGCTGCTAGACGTAGTTTATCGTCATACCCAGGTCGAATTTGCATTTTGAGCTCATCCTTTTGCTGATAACCATTCTGTCTTCTTGAAGTTTATTCTTTGTCTTTTCTTCTCGCTTTCATTCGATACATTCTGTAGGAACTGTTGCATTTTTTCTTTCCGTGTCTGCTATCAACACTGTGTCATCTTTATATCTTATATTGTCAAGATTGTAGCCACCAGTAATGAATCCTAGCAGGACTCTGAGTTGCCTTACTGTATAGATTGAATAAATCTGGTAAGAAGACACATCATTGTCTTACACCCCTTTTGATTATCAACTGTCCATAACTTGCATTTAGAGAAACGTAAGGTCAACGCTCTTAAGTAATGTGTCATACATTTTAAATCTGATATTTTTTACATTCACTGTATATTGGTAGCTTGTTCTCCGTCACAGTGGTCTGTCCCTGGCTTTGTTTCGTTATCGTGTTTTCAGATATCGGTCTCCCAGACAGTAATTCTCTTTTGCACTAAAGTTGGGCGGATCAGTGGGTGTGCTTTAACGCTTGAGGCAATTTAACGACGGAACTGGCCAATTTTTCAACTCGCTACACAAAAAGGTGTATGGTTGCCAGTGTTAAAGATGTCTGGTTCCGCAATGCATCTCCGTGGGGAAATTGATAAGCAACCTTATCACTTAGGTTAAATAGCGTGTCAATTAAGAGAAAAAGATAGAACCTTTTGTCAGTTTTTTGGTGAGAAGATTTGAAATTTGAATACGCACAAAATACACATCGCGTTAAATGATTGTTTTTATCGGGGTAACAGAGAAAAATTGTCTGTTAGTCTTTGTTTCAGACATGATGTCCTACTGCTTTTGGTCTAATTGGGAGGTGCTGTCTAGAGGATGAATCTCCGGACATCAGGCTAATTTTATGAACTTATATAGAGCAATGGTATTAGATTTTTTTAAGTTTAATATAATCTGGAATAAAGTCACAATAGGAATTGATTTTTTTGTTTTGTTTTTTACTGCTTTTGTAGGTTATTTAGAGCCAGAATTTGTTGGGATGGGGCTTTAAGAATGTTTATATAAATTGATATAAATTCTACTAATTAACCCATAGCTGCGGGGGAAGAGGTGGGTTATCAAGGGTATTAGTGCATAAGTGTATATAACAAACCAGACCAGAACTGGAAATCAGGGAGCCGAGTTCGAATTCTATTCAGGTTCATTGTTTTTAACGACTTCTGTAGGTTATTTAAAGTCAGAATCTGGGTTGGGGTTGTAAGAAGTTTTTGGAGATTATTATTCCGGTCTGTTATCTATTACACCAGCCGCACATCCAAGCTTACAGCACGCTGGTATTTGCAAGCGGTCATCCATCGAGGTACTGACCAGGCTTGACATTGCTTAACTTCGGTGATCGTACAAGAACAGGTGTTTCAACGTGATAAGGCCGTGACTATCACAATAGCGACGGTCCTAAGATTGTACTTAGTAAAATTGCTCAATGACATGCGCTCGAGTTATTTACTTAACTAAATATGGCACAAAGCCATCATAGTGATACAATCTGAGGATGTGTCAGTAGTGCAATGGTTAACGACTCAGAATTCCGGCCAAATTCGTTACGTTCACTTTACCAGGAATCCATCTATTCTCTCCCCACCCACCAAGCGATGCTTTAAAGAGTGGGCGCTTTATCCTTGGTAGACAACTAGTCTAGAAGGACAAATCTGAAATCAAACCCACTTGGTTTGTTAATGGGCAGATAGACGCTGTTCAGTATTGGACGGCATACTATCTCGAGCTGGTAAACACAAATAAAAACATCCATACCCCGCCAGTGCCACTCGTGAGTATGTCTTTCTTTAAAAGTGCACAGTTAATGAAAGTCACGTGAATTGGGCAACCTGCTATGGCTGGAGATTGTCTTTTACATAAACAGTCTACGTTGATGTTTTTAGTTTGACTGGTTGACACGTAGTGAGAAAGGAAACTCTTTCTCGTTCGTCCAACAAAGGATAACGTCCATAGTCTTAAAGTACGGTAGACTAAGAAGGAAAATAACCAAATTTTTATTTCTTGTGCGTGCGTAACTGATCAGTGCGTAATTTTGCTATTAAATTTTAAAAGTTCAAACCAAAGGATTCTTCAAGTTTACGATCAGTCTTCTAAATTTCAGTTTAGAGATCAACTACAGATAATGGAAAATAATTCAATAGCTTTCTGCAACGTTACATAGAGGTTACAAAAACTTTTGTTTTGTAGACGTTTCACAATATGCCCAGAACGTTACTTTGTAGCGTTACATTAACAGAATTCTGTGGACACATTAGAGCATACATTTTTTTTTTTTTAATTAGTGATTCTCAATTCAAAAAAACAAAAGAATAAAAATTTTATACATTCTGTACATATTGTTGAGTGAAAATATACTATTTGCATTCTTTATATTATTCGGACTGTTATCCTCATTTTCATTGCCATATTCACATCGTTTCAGCCGTTGTACGCTTCAGCCTTCTTTAGGTGATTGGAACTTCAAACCTAACCCTTTATTTCGACCACCGGGGCTGAAGGCGGCCGGAACGTAAAACGGCCGAAACGTTGTGAATATGGCCATGAACAGTCTGAATCATGTAAATAATGCAAATAATCATAATACCTCATCTCAGAGAGATATAGACAGATACTGAAGAAAAACTATTGTGATTTTTATTTGATCAATGCGGAATTTTTCAGCTACAGTCCATTATGACAGCATTGGGGGATAAGCGGTCAATTAGAATGACGTCACCGCAATGCCACAATCAAAATACAATATGTCTGCAACGTTGTGTGGATTCATTGCCTATTACAAGATATTTCTTATCATATCTAATGCAGTTCACGCCCATTTTTTCTTTGTATGGCTGACAGAAAACGTTTAATAACCTCACCAACCTTTGAAAGAAATAAAATAACGGAAGACCTCAAAGATTGTGCATCGGTGATTAACATCAGCCAAACAGCCACCCCCATCACCGAAAAACATTTAATATTTTTTATATTCCAACATCCAGTATGTTTTTGTTACAGTTATGAAGGTTATGTATATCTAAACATCTCTCTCTGGTGCGATCTTAATCCTTCTGATGTGATAAACTACCATATTAGCCGTTTCCTTATAAGGAAACATTCCATTTCCTTGATCTACTTTAGATTTAAATTTTATAATTTATTTTTCTATTAACCCAATTTTTCAGGAAATTGGGTTTAGCAAGTCCTCTTTCTCGTATTGACAGAGGTTTCCTTCCTAACTTTTTGTTTGAAGTAGTGTGGAAGGTCAGCTTCTAAATTATATCATAATTTTCTCTCCCAGTTACCCATTTTTGTTGTTGGTTGTGTTGAAACTCCTGTTATTTCTGAGTTCTTTGTGATTCTGTAACGCCAGACCACAAGTATAGAAGCATGGTCTTTGCTAAAACCTACAGGCTTCATTCACTTAAATTATTTTAACCATTGATGTAAGTAAGCATTTTTTTTACAGCTGACCGTGCACATATTCCTGAACAAATTTGACGCCATGCGTGATGCAGCTAAATGTGTTGACAAAGTTTCTACCGTAAATGACAAACAAGTTTAAGAACACTAAAGGAAACAATTCCGGAGCAATTCGCGTGAGACACAGCAGCTTAGGACAATTTCTGAGTCACAGCAGCTTAGGACAATTTCTGAGCCATAGCAGCTTAGCACAATTTCCGAGCCATAGCAGCTTAGGACAATTTCCGAGCCACAGCAGCTTAGGACAATTTCCGAGCCACAGCAGCTTCGGACTGTTTCCGAGCCACAGCAGCTTCGGACTGTTTCCGAGCCACAGCAGCTTCGGACTGTTTCCGAGCCACAGCAGCTTCGGACTGTTTCCGAGCCACAGCAGCTTCGGACTGTTTCCGAGCCACAGCAGCTTCGGACTGTTTCCGAGCCACAGCAGCTTTAACCATTCACCAGTCACGAGGCAAGACGAAGAAACCAAAACGGTTCCCCACAGTAATATATAGTGTCTACTTCGCATATCTCGGAAAGTCACGCGTGACTTTATTGTCTTTAAATATTTTGACACGGGGACGTCTATTTTCCTTTCTGAATATTTTACGTGGAAGGCATGTGTGAACTCTTTATGTCGGTAGGTCACTTTGTATTTCAATCTTTTTCACTGGGGACGGTCTTTCGTTTTCACTACATAGAGACCCATATGAAAATCTCGATCTGTGGAGACTATTTAAAAACAGAACTAGAATATGTACTGCATTTCAATGTTTTTTATGGTTGAGTAATCTTTGCAGCTTCAGCAATGGGTAAAGATTTTCAAAAAGGAAATTTTCAAAAATACGAACCCCTTTCTTATCCCCCACAATGATTTTTTTTATCAGGGTTTTATAAATGAGTATTTGGGGTTCTTGCGTTCAAAATTTATAGAAACGACCGACGTGACTCCTTTTAAAATCTCATTGGTTCCTGTCGATGTCGTCTATGAAGTAAAAGTGTTTTCGCTGCTATTGTGCAGGACTGACAGTTATAAAAAATAGTTTTTGTAAGTACTTTTTCAATGTACCTAGGAATCAAACGGAACGCAGGGAGAAGTTTTTTCCTTACGGTATTAACCACATCACTTGAGAACTTTTAACAGCAACAATTAAGATATAACTCGAAGAGAAAATATGTTGATGTTCTACACTTTTTCAAATAAAAGTTTATGAACGAAGCCTCCATTAGCACTGGAAAGAGCTATAACAGCTACTGGTATTGAGAAACCTAATTTCTTTAAAAATTGTTTTAATAGAAAGATTTTATAAATTTCTATCGAATGTAACTGGCTGTTTGGTCAAAGAATGCCAAATGTTTCCATCTAATATTAAAATTACCATTAATAAAAAAAAAAAAAAAAAAAAAAACTCGTAGCAGCCTGAGCTGAAATTCGAACTGTTTGCTGTTTTCTGTTCACTATAAGCATGCCTATTTGAGGTGAATTTTTTGGTGGGGTGACTATATCCATATGACATCACCTGCAGAAAACAAAATACTCCCTCCAACCCATTCCATGACAAATGTGGCTGGTATTCTTTATCAGCAATCCCCTCTTATCTTTGATTTTTTTTCTACTATATTTTCTATCTACTGGGCATCAATGAAGCAACCTTTTACTCCATCTCTTAACTTTTCTTGTTACATATGTCCTTCCCTTCTATTTTTGTCATTTAATCATTTTTATATTCTTTTTTCTTGATCTGTTCTTTGATCTCTGTTGACCGCTTTCTGTCTCTTAATAATCTCTGCTATTGCTCTTTCCATTAATTTTTGGGTATTCTTGAGTTTGTTTTTGAGCTATTTTGTTAAACGCCATATCTCGTACCCGTTCGTCTTAGCTGACATTGTACAGTCCTTTCACATTTTAAGGTTTAAGCACATTGACAATATTCTTTTCATAATATCTATCTTAGATAAAAAGGTTGTTATCCATTTACTTCATTTTCATAGTCTTTTATACTGTCAACAGCGGCAAAGTCTCTCTCTCTCTCTCTCTCTCTCTCTCTCGTGTGTATGTAGCGAAAAGAAATTACCAAGAACAAAGTCTACAAAGAAATAGACACCTACAAAAATCGACAATGTTTATAAAACCCAGAAACCCGAAATAGAGAAACCAACCCAAAACAGAGCCGTAATAATAAAAAAAAATTCATATACAAACACACATTCCAAAACGTAACTCTGAGTTTTACGCTAATCACAATCTCCAGATAATTAAAATCCTTAGATGGTTAAATTCTTAAACGTTTGAAGTTCTTACGGTTTGGGATCAGTGCCTCCACACGGATTTTTGGTGATTATGTAAGAGATCAGGAGTAATGGTTAACAGCTGTAAAAAATGGATTAAGGCATCTAGTTCAAATTTCAACTTGGGTAGTTTTTCCCTATGCAATAAAACCCCTTTGGAAAGGAATGAATCTACCTCTCCTATTAGATATTAATCTGTATCTAAGCCAGTACAACTTACTGGGAGCTGAAATTAGCACAGGCAATTATCTCCTTCTCGTGGAGGATCCGGTATGGTTGCTCGAAGATCAATTAAAACAATAATTTAACAGATGCATACACATGAGTTCTTTCCAAACCTTAACCTAATGTCTCACAATTCTTCAATAGAAAGGACGACCACTGAGATTTCACTCACTCGTGATAACTTGCAGACAATGCCTCAACAAGACTAGCTTTTGTAATTTCCTTTTCTAAATTCGCGTAAGGCTAGATTTTTTTATGTATTCCCGTTACATCAGTAGAATAAAACTGCCCAGACCGTAACGCAAACAATAACATTTATTCGTGTATATGCATAAAATATGGCACGTGGCCAAGAATTTGGAGCAAGAGGAAGGGGCTGGTATTCATCTGGCATATAATTTCTCTTTCTTACCTAATCAT